GGGTGCCCGCCCGGCCTGGATCCGCCGGCGGGCAGCGAAACGCAAGGTCACCCTGTCCCGAATTCACTTACGGTCACGCCATCGGCCACGGGACGCCGAGCCGTTGCAGAGCCGCCCGGACGCCGTGGCTTGGGTTTGGTTTTAATCGATGCCTTTCGGAAGGGCATCTTGCCCGGCTCCAGGCCCAGATCAAGCAGCTTCGAGACTCAAAGCTTGGTAGAGACCTGAGCAAGCCCCATGCGGCTTTGGACCGAGGGCCACGGCCACCCCGCAGAGCCCCAGCCCCTTTCCCGCGGCGGGGATACTTGGCGGGGGGATACTGAAAAACAGATTAAAACCAGGGTCGCGATGAACCTTTGCCGTTTTAATCTTTTTTGCTGTAACAGAGAGCAAATTGATAACGTGCTAAAAAAAAATAGAGAGAGAGAGAAAAAAAAGCCACCCTGCAAAAATGTGACCTTCTTCATATAAATGGATGTTCGGAAATAAATCAAGGATTTCTGCGGGAGAATCAAAACAGCTGCTATTACACCAGCCAAGCCTCAGTAATGAAATCATTTGCCAGTGTCAGGAGGTAAGTTAGATTTGGGGTTTTGCAGTCAAAATATTGAAAGCGCTGGGTTTAATCACATTTTAAGTCAGGAGGCTGAAAATCCTTATTTCAAATAATGGATTGGATAATTATGTTTTAATTCTTAGTTATTTTTGTAAGGTTTAGTCCTACCAGTCTATATGCCCTTTACGACTTATTGATCTGCCTCTGAAGACTGCCTGCCCATGGAGCTGTGCTTTTTCCTTGCCAGAACATATTCTGCAGTTATTTAAGCAATTTCAGGGCTTCCAATATATTTTTCCAGATTTAATTTTTGCATTTTTAATATGAAAAAACAGCCAAGCACATTGTCCTAATCTACTAGCTGATTGTTTTTTCTTTTCATTTCACTCTGGTTAAATCTCACTTGGATATAGACTGAAATTCAGCTAAAGAGCCCAGAAATTGAATTTTTTGTTAGCAAGAGTGGAAGCAGGAGCAGGAAGGGAAGACGCTGCCGGAGGAAGCCGAGCGCCTGGCGCCGCTCAGCTGGCCTCGGGGGGACAACGAGGAGACCGGAGCTGCCAGCACTTCAGCAGTAAGGATAAATAACACGTCACCCCGGGTGGGCATGAAGCGTTAAGTAGAGAGAAGATCGATATTAGGTTGGAGGCACAACTGTGGCCAAGAAGAACTATATAAAAACATAAAAATGAATTTAAAATGAAAAGAAAGGAGGCAGTAAAATGCAGCATTGAATCAGAGCTCAAATGAGAGAAAGCTGCGCTTTGCAGTAGTGCCGGGTCCATAAAGGTTCTTTGTAGACGCAGGGGCATCGGCTCTCCGGCTGGACCGTGCGCTCAGCTGGATTGCAACAAAAATGGTAGTGGAGGGCCTAGGGTTGGCTGGGTTCTTATTCTGGCTATAAGCGATAGAAAGCACTTCCAAATCAGTAACACTCACAGAAACAGTGCGATGGGTACAGATGGGCCAACAAATCTTAACAGAGAATTTTTTGGAGGTGTTTGTAGCTAAATAGCAGGTTGATGGTAGAGCCCAGGAGAGGAAGATCCTACTGCTTTGGTGAATTTGAAGTTGTTTTGTCCAGGCCCTTAGGCTCAGCCAGGCTCTGTGTGTCCAAAATGAGACGATGAGAAACGCAAGCTCTGCAGAAGGTCCAGTCCCACAGAGCGCTGAGCATGGACCCAGCTGCACTGGCTTCAAAGAGATCTCCTGTCTCTTTGAAGCCAGTGGGAGAAAGGGAGACCAGCAACAACACCAGAGCTTCAGAGATGGTGCTGAGATGTTTAGCCAACCAGCCTTTGGGTTGTCTGATGTGATACTTGCCCCTTTCTGTAATAAGGGAATTTATTTGTGGTGGAAATGGAAATCCTTGAGGTTTCCTGATGCAGGGCATCTCCAGCTTGCTTTCCAGGTTTTTTGCTGTGTACGTGTGGTCTCACCACCAGGTGAGAGCAACGGCTAGGAGGATTTCGTTCCTAGTCCTAAGGGATTTCCAACAACACTCACACATTTTCCTTAAGAATAAAGTTAAATGTTGACGTGCTGGGCAGAACTCCACCATGACTCTCACGGGGGTTTGGATCCAGGTCTGGGAGCCCAGCTATGCCCACGTCCCCCACCTTGCCCAGACCTGGGCTCTGGAGCTAGGCTGCGGGGGTCCGGTTTGTGTTGCACGCAGGATAGACCAAGGGCAGGTCTCGTCTCAGCCTCGTGGGGGTCCCATGGGCGAAAGCTGGGGATTAAGCAGGCTAGGAGGAGGCGAAGGGCCTGTGCTGTCCCCCACCGCAGGCAGGCGCAAAGAGATGGTGCCTGGGCCCACCAGCCCCTTCCCCTCGGGGTCTGTTCAACAGGCTGGGGGCCACCGTTAGCTGTGAAGAGCCCTGATTTGTTGCGTGCATTTGGGCTGGGATTGTGATGCAGCTGGAACGGCTTCGCCCCACTCTCTTACATAGCTTTCGCTATAGCAACTATTAGAATAACCATTTGGCAGTGTCTTTATGAAAGACAATACTATTTATAAGAGACAAGCAAAGCTCTGCTGATGAATTTCTTCTCTAACATCTGGCGGTCCTGAGCATCCTGGCCGGGTTGGGAAGTGCCGGTCCCATGAAGCATGACAGGTTAGATCAAGCAGCATTGCTGGGCAATAAGGCTGCGGTGTTAGACACTGGGCTCAGCCCACACCAAGGAGCTGCGTGCGGGAGCCAGAGCCCGGCACAGCAGCACTCCGGGACAGGGACCCCCGGGGACGGGGAAGCGATTGCTGGTTGCTGTGCCTGTCGCTCGCCAAAGCGTTACCTCAGCTGCGTTTTGGTATGTGACAAAAGCATTTTTTAACCTGCGGCGCCAAACGTAGTGGTTTTTAATGTCAAACTTAGTCCGAGGGATGACATTTAATCTCCTTTATGAGAGGTTATATAGTTAGGTCCTAAATGAGCTCTCTGTACGTGGCTGCTTTACAGCCCCAGGGTACCATAAATGAGAAAAAATTTACAGGGATGACACAGCTTTATGCTTTCATGTCAGTCGTTTCAAAACCCCGAGGAACGAGCCGTGCTCCTCACGTCCTGCTGGGGCGACGCGCTAACTGCCCATTTCTGCCCAGGGGCCGTTAGTGTGACCTTGTGGGGCAGTGCGGCCCACGTGCGATGGAGATGGAGCTCACATACGAGGTCCTGGGGGGTCTCTGGTCCTGCTCAGGGCAGAGGGAGCCGCTGTGCTACAGGGCCACTCGGCAAAACATACTCAGTGACGGGCTTGTTTCTGTAGCCAGATCCGTGCACGCCTCAGTCATGTAGGAGGACCCCTTTCGAGGCACGTTGAGTTTACAGTTGGCTTCGATCCAGGCTGGAGGCTTTTACGTGCAATCTGCTTTTCAGGCATTGCCTTTACAGAGCCGTGGGGCATGGTTTGATCTGCAGCCGAGGGTGGTGAGGGGGAGGGAGAGGTATTGTATGGACAGAAGAAGGATGTTGTGAGTTGAGATTTGGGAAGAGATGGGGAGCAGCCGTGGAGGGGAGGGGAGGGAGAGCTCTTCCAGGTGCTGCAGCCCTGGGGGGAAAGTCCTTGCCAGCAGCAGTGCAAGAACTGGGGAGACACAAAAGTGCCTGGTGCTGGTCCTGCAGGGTGGGAAATGGAGAGGGAAGAAGATGCCTGTGTAGATATCGGTGCAGAAATCAGAGCTGCCAGACTTGCAGGCACAGAGAGAGACTAGGACAGGACAAATTCTGGGACAGGACACGTGTCCCACATGCCTGTGCTGTGGATAGGCTCAATCTCCGTCAGGTGATAAGGGACTGAGGCAGGAAAAGTAGGTACCTTTTTGTGGCCTTTGCAATCGTGATGTCAGACCAGATGGGTGTAATAGTCCTTTATGGTCTTAAAAGTTATAAATATAGTCAGAGGTACCAACTTGGGGGAGATGGGAGACTGAAAATACCAGGCAATGCTGCTCTTTACTGTGTGAAGAGACTCTACTCTGTGGGTTGGAGACGCTCTTACTTGAAGTGAGACAAAGCAACTCGGTCATGAAACGAGGAATTACAAAGCTGCAGCTGTGCGTTAGCCGTAGCTAAGGGCGAGGGGGGCACCTGGCCTCAGGGCCGCGCTCGGAGCAGGTGGCGCACCCTCCCAGGGTCTCACTGGGGACACCCTCAGGTGAGCACCAAGGCTGGGGTGAGCACCAAGGCTCCCCGCAACGTCTGGGGCAACGAGAGAGCAAA